GGGCTCTACCAAGCTAAGCTTTTATGTTGCTCTCAAGGGATGATCGATGATTTGCTGATAGATAGTACTCGCGCGGTTTATATATATATATATATACTCACGTACATGGAGTGCATGCATGTGTCCTTGCAAAATCGTAACATTTGGACTTTGAAGTGGTCTTGGTCATACGGCTCTATAATATTTGGTCGGTGATATTAGGATCAATCGACCAAGTCATTTCCTTGGCCTATACCTAATCATTAATAGAGTACTGGCTTGAAAAATTTAATTTTTGCACGACTTTGATAAAAAAAATATAACTCTATCCAATTAAATAACAATAATCCTTGTATATCATAATACTACTCGTATTACCCATCCACTAATACAACCAAGATAAAAGATAAATATAGACGAGTAAAACGACTATATCAAAGTACTCATAGTAATCGTGGGGTTTATATATATATATGGAGTGCATGCATGCGTCCTTTGGCGAACGTTGGGTTTAGTATCTTGTTCCCTATTCCAATCCTTGCAAAATCGTATCATTCGGACTTTCAAGTGGTCCTGCTCAGACTGCTATATAATATTTTTGATGAACTACTCTGCTCTAAAATATTTGGGTTGTCTTTGGTGGGTTAACAATTACATAGCATAATAGCCGTATGCACGCCACGCATCTTTGTCCTCTTGCCTTTTTATCTACTGTTCGAAATTCATATCATTGCAAAATCGTATAATTTTGGCATTGAAGTGGTCATGATCCTGAGATTGCTCTATAACACGCCGGCCCATCCAAAACAATATGCCATCGGGCTAGATTTGAAATTCCTGAATGGTAGGGTTTCAAGGAACAAGGAGACGAGCTGTGGAGGAAGAAGATAAGATTGAGTAGGATTATTGGAAGAGGAGGCTCAATGATAGCTTTGGACTCAGTAGTCCTTCATTTATATATAACGGTTATTCGCTAACTTCTATACAAAATCACCAGTGATCACAAGGCGACAGGTGGCTAAGACCACTGATAAACAATAACGAATTTGGTTTAATGAAAAACGGTTGTGTATAAGAAAGTTGTACAAATATATACGCAAAAGAACTCCACAACTTCCAAACCATTCCATTGCAGTCCCTCTCGTTCTTCATTGATCTTTATCTGCAAGTTCAGCAGTTCTTCAGTTGTAACAGAGTCTGGTCCTGCTTCTCCAATAACCAGTGCAGGACCAGGAGGTGTTCTTCACACACCCCCTCAAGCTGGCAAGTACACATTGTGTACTTCCAGCTTGCTAAATAAGAATATGAATCTCTCATATGCAAGACCTTTAGTGAACAGGTCTGCCAATTGCACATCCGTTCTTACATGCTTCAATGCAATCAATCCATATTTCAATCTCTTCCTTGTGACATGACAATCCACATCAATATGTGTTTCTTTGTTTATGGAAAACTGAATTTTCCGCAATATGAATAGCATATTATTGATTGTCACAATATAATGTCATGGGGTCTGGATGACTACAAAAGAAGAACTCAAGCATTGCCTTACGCCATTAACTTCAGAACACAATTGTGCCAAAGTTCTGTATTCTGCTCCAGAAGAAGACCTGGATACTTTCCTTTGCTTCTTGCTTTTCTAGGTAACCAAGGAAGGTGCAGTATCTAATGACTGATCTTCTTGTATCAGGGCAAGTATCCAGTGCCATTCTCAAAACTGAAAGTGAAGGATAGGAGAAGTGGATGAGAAGGAAGTTGAGTTATAGTGAGCGACTAAATAGAGGAAAGAAACGACCATATTGTGGAGAGAATGATCTCGATGTGCTAAATCCACACCTACATGTTGTTGATCTTCCCTAATGCAAGTACAGTAGGTTGCTTTGAACTCGCCAATCCCTAAGGCGGTACTTGAGACAACCCATGACGGTATGAGGCGACACAACCTGTTTAATGAAGGGGTTTTGGGTTTGGTCCACGAGATTGAACTCATTATGTAAGCTATGATCATCAATGTTAACAATCGATTTTGGCCATAAAAATTATTGTCGAACTAGTACCTCGTGTGGTGGTTGTCCAGTTCTCCTTATATAAGCTGCGAATTTTCTATTTCTTAATAGTGGTGCTCCTGTAAACCAATAATTAAAGCAACCGCGCCACAATTTTCTTACCCAATGCAAAGGACTGCCCAAATTATTAGGTTTTGATTCCATAAGTACGTATAAAGCGAGGGGCGAAATTCTCATAAGACGCGCTCTATATCCGACATGTTTACCGTCAATGCTTGATTTGGCAATTATAGTTATCAATAAAATAAAAATATTAATTGTCTTTCTAATAAACGTGTCATCCACATCAGCTATGTAACCCTCATCCGTGAGTTTCGCTCAATATCCCTTAATTCGGGGTTTATTTTTGAACAAGCGAGCTTTACACGACTATCATTGCACGTAAAATTAATATGCAAGCCTAAATGAATATATTTGTTGGCCTTTTCTATTACGTTAAATTTTATGCTAAAGGAAATAACTTCAAAGCCTCTCCTACAATGACGCATACAGTTGTCTGAAAATTGCCCCATTTAACTATTCCTATGTGAGACACCCTATTTTGTGAAATAGATTCATGTTAAGGGTTTGGCATTAATAGCAGTAAGGGATTTCTTATTTACCAATGAGAATCCACAATGTGTGTTATTTCTTTATTTCATTGTGACATGGCTAATTCCAATTCCTATTTCATTATTGTTGCTCCTATTCCATTCGTGAAATACTTCATTAAGTTACATAAAATTAATTATATTAGTCATAACGCCTTCACTTGACTTTAATGAGGCATTGGCCTTACAAGGCTAGAATGTCAATAGTAAAAATAAGGTAAAGGTTGTTTGGTTTTATGATCTGGAACGCAAACATAAAGTTGCATGTACTAAAATGACCTCCCTTTATACCTTTTCAAGTATTGACATCGGTAATTAGCTTCACGTAGCGTGCAATTAAAAGGCCCCCTTGTACAAGTAGAAAATTTTAAACGAATTCATCAACGATTAAAAACAATTCAACCATTTTCCCATCTTCCGACATCTCATTTAATTACAAAATAATCGGAATTCATCACTAATTAATACGTTTACAACAATGAAAGCTAATCCACGTATATTAAGTTTCCAACACTAGCTGAAATGATCCAGAATCGTTTTAATAGCAAATATTACTTACACCTATTGCTTGGCCCATTAAGCCATAAAAGAATCACAAATTGGATCGCAAATTATTGCATTACACTAAGCCCAATCGTTTGGTTGATTCACAAATACGATTTATGATGACTATCCACGGTTCGAATGAAATTTTGTCTTCGTCGTCTTCTTCCTTTGACAAAAACAAACCCTAAATATCACTGATCATCAAGCCATAGATTGACTGACCTTCAACTAGAAGCTTCATGTGAATACAAAATAAATTAAAGGACAAGACAATAGACTATCCGCCCACAATTCCATTGAAACTCCCTCTTCTTCATCTTCTTCATTTCCTCTACTTCATCTTCTTCCTCCGGTCGAAACGATCCCAGAATGGAATACACCTATCTGTGCAACAAGAACGAAAAACTAAATAGATAAAAGGGCAATACAATAGACTTGTGGCTAGCTTTTATGAACACTAGTATCAATACCCGCGGCTACGCCGCAGGATATTTAGTTATGTTGGGCCAATCAAATTACCCCTTGTATGTTGTAGAAAAAAAAAACTCATGGGAGCTTGAGAGGTAAGATGCGTCTTTTGCCCTTGTTGTGCACTCTTGGCCACTGCCACATATAAGCGCAGGCCTTTGGTAGTTTCAAGAATTAGTAGCAAGGTACTCACAGGTAATGTTAGAGAGTGGTATATGATCCAGTATAACCTTCTCCCAACAACTCGAGTTATTGGAAGCAACTGGTTCTTGACATGGTATCAGAGCATAGAACCAAAAGGTCATGTGTTCGAATCTCCACGACCCCCAATATTAACCGCTGTCTTTCAAGCACATGGCATGGTGGGCCTGTGCAAACTTCAAGCCCATGAGTTGGCTTTCGTTTGAGGGGGCGTCTTAGAGAGTGGTATATGATCCAGTATAACTTTCTCCCAACAACTCGAGTTAGTGGGAGCAATTGGTTCTTTACATGTTAGAGAGTGGTATATGATCCAGCAGAACCTTCTCCCAACAACTCGAGTTAGTGGGAGCAATTGGTTCTTGACATGGTATCAGAGCCTTCTGTGACCGAGAGGTCTTGTGTTCGATTCCCGGTGACCCCATTTGTTAAGCACATGGTATTCTTGTCTTCAGACCTGTGCAAACTTCAAGCCCTTGTGAGTGGCTTTCGTTTGAGGGGGCGTGTTAGTGTTGTGGTATATGATCCACGATTGAACCTCTCCCAACAACTCGAGTTATTGGGAGCAACTAGTTCTTGACAGGTAATTCATGTATCTTATCTCTTTGAGAAGTTTTATGAATTAAAGACGTCATGAAGCCAGAGAGGGAGGATTAAACAAAGTCTCATATTAATCTGGCAAGCTGACTAATTAAACCAAGACTTAATTTGGAAAGTGGTCGTGGGTAGTGGGATCGGATTAGTGGGACTAATCGAACAGGCTTGCTTGCTACTGTGAGCTGGGAAACTGTCATTGTTGATGCAAGATAACACCCGTTGCATTTGTTTCCATTTAAGACCTGTCTTTGTTTGTTGATTAGGGGTGACGACAAATTATTCTTGAAGCTTATAGTATTTGTTTGTTAGCTGGCAATATGCTACTGTTGTTACAGATGGTTTCCTGTGAAATGTTATAAAATGAAAGAGAGAGTGCTGAAATTACTAACTATTGGGTGGTTTGGCAGGATTTACAGCAGACTTGGGGCTGTTAGGTTTTCTTTTTCTAGTCAACAAATAGCACATCCATATACATTATGTTGCAGAAATCTATCGTTGAGAACACATGAACCCATAAATGACAAGAAATTAAGCAGGGTCTTGGAAAGGAGAAATGAAAAAATAACACAATTTACTGGAGTTAACCATATCAATTAAACATCAACTATACACATAATTTTCTAGATCCGGTTAACTACAATTATGAGGCAAAGGTATCCATCAATTGTAGAGAAAGAGCATTACCGGAAGAAGGCTGAATGTAGAGGAACTTAAGAAGATCAGACAGAAATGTCAAATTGAAATGGTAACGGCAAACCAGGGGCAAACACTTTTAAAATCAATATTTAAATCCAACCAATTGAAAAGCATATGCGACTGTGCATGTGACAGGAAAGAGGATTCAGCTTACTGATCGACATGTTCAGCAGCTTGTCTGTCAGTTACACAATCTCGATGACCATTGATGACGAGAAACAATAGCAGGTCCTTAATGTCCCTTACTGATGGAGAAGCTCTTTATCCATACTCATGAACTGAACAAACATATCATGCTATGAGAAGAGTTTTTGAAGCGCATTATCCTGGAAATTTCTACATATAATTAGCAAGCCAAAAAGGAATAGAAATTGATTACCTATCAGATCATGACTTCTCACAGCAAATCATATAAAGTAAACTTAATATGGATTCTGAAAAGTGAGAATCTTATACCTAACCATCTTTCAGGTAGGATTCAATCAATGCCTGATTGGTGATGGTGTATTTCTTGCCTGATGGGAACTAATAATTAGAGCTTGTATAAAATCTTGAAAAAGTTAGACTACGAAACAATGACAAACTGATATAGAGTAAACAATGGGGAAAGGAACAACATGGATTCACGAAAATGGTTGACATCCAAACACGCATCCATTTAATTGAGTATTTAAACATGGATTAAAAAAACACATAATTTGAGCAACAAATTCATGTAAAGGGTTCACAAACTTACATTTAGTGATGAACTGCAGTTCCCGAATGGTTAAGTAGTAAATCAATTACATTCTGAAGATGGTAAATGTATAATTAAGTTATATGTAAGCTAGATGGCCCAGCAATGAGAGAACTCCAATCAATTGGGAAGAGGTTCTGAAACTCTGAACTGCAGAAAGATCCTGCAACTCCTCCAGGACCCTGTACTGAGCAACAATGATGGTAATTTTGTTTAAATGAAATAAACAACAGATACAGCAAGCACACAAAGTCTCATATTATGTGAATGGTAAATAAATCATTGAGCATATCAAGAAAATCAATAGAGAAGTAAGCACCTTTCAACCCATCTGTGAAGAAAAGAAGATTAACACATTTCAAGTTTTGTTCTTGGTGCCCTGAAACTAATCTAAGCACTTCTAGCCCTGCAATTCCCCCTATAATTTGGCATCTCCATCACCTATAATCCTCTCCAATTTCAGCAGCTCATTCATCAACAGCTTGTTAAAGCTGAAAACTTCATTTCCTCCTACATTCCCACCTACACTATTTACTGATTCGAGAGTCCAAATCTATAAGAAAGCAACCAGGTTGGACATTCGGATGAGAACTGGCAAATCGAATTACCTACAACCAACGGATGAATATCAAAGAGAAAATGGCGAGGCAGTAGACTTCATAGCTGATCTCGGAAATGGACCACAAAGATTTCTCAATCTTGCCATTCTTTCTCATCTCAAGGAAGCACTTCTCCTGGCCAATATGGGCTTCAAGCAGAACCATTTTGGACATGTCTCTAACCCTTTTATATCCATGAACGCGTTGGAATACCTTTCTTTTGTCTTTGTAAATCAGTTTTCGGTCTTGAGAGTGTAGGCCAGTTGTTCCAGTCAACAACTTCTTCAGGCTGGAAAAAAAAAACAAAAAACAAATCGAAACTGAAAAGAGTGTAGAAGGGGAAAAAAGAGAAGTGGGGCTTGCACTTACAGAATGAGGCTTGAGAGTTGATGTTGAGTTGTAGAACCCCAGGTTGCTGCTACCGTAAAAAGAATCATCTTATTGTTGTTGACTTTCCCTCGACTGGTCGTCTCTCGTTATGTATATCTCTGTCCGCCCAGCACTGAACCACACTACCACAGGCGGCCTACTGAGCCCAAAACTGTGATCCAAACACGACAGGCGAGGCCATCAAATAGCCACCGGAGCATTGAAAACTCCAACGACGGAGATATGGAAGGAAAAAAAGAAAGGAAAGCAAAAGTCCAGGAAAGCAAAAAGATCGATCGTACGAAGTGAAACCTGAATTGATAACTCTGCGGCCATTGCTGAGAGGTCAAAGAGCCGACACCTTCACCGCCGTCGGCATTCTTCTCCTCGTCGTGACCTTCCGCGTTTGAGTTTTTGTTGCTGAAGCTCGAGGAGGGAGAGTAGAGTGTGGTCGGAGAAACTAATTGGTGCCATCTCCGGCACCGTCGTCATTGTCATGTCTATCGGAGTCATCTACAGAGAAATCTGCATGTGGGAGACCGATATCAATCATGCTTGGCCATCTACACCGACGACGCTGCTCTTATTGAGGAAGACGTTAACTGGGAGGGAGTTAGGAGGCGGCGCAGTGATGTAGAGCAGCATCCAGAGTCAGGGCAAGAAGATTAGGGTCTTGTAGACCCGAACAGGGAGAGTGGACCTCGTCTTCCCACCACCTCGCCCGAGGCTCCACTCGAAGCGGAGAGCATAGAACGAAAAGCAGCAGAATCTCTTTTGGACGAAGGGGTGGAAGATGTATTTGGCAGGGTAAGCAGGGGAAGTTATGTCGGTACTGTAGAAATCATGGTCGGTAGCGTGTGTGTAGGAGTAGTTGCGAGAGGACAGAAAAAGACTAATTTGGTTCAATTGATTCAAAATGAGACAATTGAGATAAATTGGTTCATTTGGCAACAAAAAATGAAAACGGAACATTTCAAAGTGGGGAAATGAGAATTGTTCCATTATGGATCAATTCTAAATACCTGGGGTAGGGGGAGGTTTTGAGAATTGATCCGTTTTTCTCCCCACTTTCTCAATTGTGTCCTTTTCTTTTTCTTTTTCATTTCTCTCTCTCCAGAGTGCAGGCACAAAAAATGACAACCCTTTCTCTTCCTTCCTCTTCTCTTCTTCTCTCTTGCAAGAGACAAAGCTTGCTCTGTTCTTTCTTTCCTCTCTCTCTGCATAGTGCAGAGACAACCCATTCCTTTTCTCTTCTTTTATTTCATGTTTCTCTTTGACGAATCAAGAAAATGAATTTCTTTCTCGGCGACGGAAGCGTTGAGGTCGTCGGTGATAGAGCGGGGAGAAAGGGCACTCGAAGTAGAACCCGCCACCGTGGATGTAGATTAGGAGGGGGAGCTTTTCCCCGACAAAGATGGCGGACGACGGGGCATAGATGGAAACGGAAAGGGATACCTGGGTTGAGTATACGAAGTCCTTGCAAGCGACATATGAGGTGGTATCGTGGCAGGCGGGGAGGGTGGCGGTTCCCGGTAGCCGCTCGACACAACCGTCAAATCTGGATTAGTGGAGAGAAATTCTGGGAAACTTTTTTTTGGGCATCCTGGGCAATTTTTGGTAGACTTTGTTAGCCAAAGATTGGCGAGTTTTGGTTTTATGTACCTGGTGTGGCCTGGTAATTACTCCTGTAATTGCTTCACAATTGGTCGCATTATTTCACTCCACTGCCACTGTAATTGAATCTGGGAATTTTGTGCTGGTGGTTCTCAAAGAGATAGAAAAGAAAAAGAGTGAAAAGGAGGGTAAAAATGTAATTTGGACAAAATGTCTCATTTCAATTGTTTCATTACAAATCCTAACCAAACAAGACAATTTCAGCCAAATTCCTCATACAAATGATTCATTTTAAAAAATGAGTCAATTAAGTCAAATTGACTCATTCACCAATTGCTCCATCCAAACGACCCCTAAAGTGGTGGATTGTGATTGTTGGATTTTGGGGTGAGGTATTGAGGTCGTGAAAGGGGTGGAGGAGGACATAGAAAGAAAGTATGGCCACCCTGTAACTGATGAGTTGATGTACCAGACACGGAAAAGGAAGGGTGGGGTGTAATGGTGTATCACTGTATTGTCAATTGGGAAGCCCTTTTAATCTCAACCCACAAAACGCCAAAAAATGAAATAGTAATAGAAGTGTTGAGCTAATAAAGTGTACCCAGCTTTCATGTTCTATATAATATAATAATGTGGTTTTCTCTACGTTACTTGTGCCATACAATAATAAACTTGTGTTGTACGTTGTTGGTCATGTGACACTACAAAAAGACAGACAGTTGTGACGAAAACCTACCGACGACGCTTTTTCGTTAGAAATAAGCATTATTTCAAACAAAATGGACATTTTGTTGGAAAAAAATATTATTTATGACCAAAAATTGTATGCGTAAGAAATAATTAGAAAACTCATCGCAAAAAATAATTTAGGCAAATTTGAGGAATCGTGGGTCACTATTTTTGACGAAACCTGTTATTGCGTCTAAAATAATTATTATTACTGACAAGGTTAAACATGGCGTTAGTAATATATGCTTTTATTGACGCACCAAAAAAGGTCGTGAAAATAATGAGTTATTTTATACGAACTGACTCCATTGTTAGAAATGTTTCGTCGGAAATGTTATTATTCGTGAGGAATAGCTTTTTCCATCAGAAAAACTCTATATTTATCGACCATCAATTACTGGTTGTCGAAATAAGTTGGTCGTAATAAATTTACATTGCAATGCATCATCGGAATCGTCATAATACCAAAGTATTTTTTATTATGAGAAATATATATTAGTGGGAGACAATGTATCAGATATAAGTTTTTTATGATCAAATATTAGTCGTCACAAATAACGTGTTAAGATTACCAATGTTTTAGTTTGCAGTGACCTTTTGTGAGGAAAAACATAATTTGGTTGAAAATAATGAATAATGTACAAAATAATTATGCATATTTGGAGGATTGAATCATTAACCATGATGTATCTGAAATAGTATTATAATAAAAAATATTAATATAAGTTGATTTCTCACCAATTAGACCATTTAACCATGAATTTACTATGATGACTACACACAAATTCCACTATTATGTTGTTTGTGAATTTTCATGTTTGTGTTTACTATTTACTAATGTAGTAATGTATCCGAAATAGTATTATAATAAAAAATAAAAATATAAGTTGATTTCTCACAAATTAGACTACCTTACTTTTGTGATTGTTTATAAAAGGATTGAACCCGTGCACTCCAAATGAAAGACAACATACTTAACCAATTAGGCTACATTAATTTTTTTATTAACTGTTAATCAATGTCCATATTTAATTAGGTTAACCAGAGTTTAATGACTTACTCACACTATTTTATCTTTTAAAATGAGAATAATTATTAAATTAGATTAATTAATCATTTTATTCTTTAATATATTATTATTAGTTTAAATACATTTAAACTATCAAGCGCCAAAAGAAATTTATCTATGACCAAAAATATTGTCGCCACTTTACAGCTTAATAAAGTGCGACTTTTTTAACTTAATTGATCCGTAACTCTATTGACTCACAACCCAAATCAAGTACAATTTGTAATATATAGTATAGGTACAAAATTATTTTGAACTTGTACCATAAGGTATATGTACAAGTTCAATGTGACCATAAGGTATAGGTACAAGTTCAATTGAACTTTTCCCATAAGGTACATGTACAAGTTCAATTTTTTTATTATCCAGGAACCTCAGCCCCACGTGCCACTTTGTGATAGCGGGTCCTACTAAACCTGGGGGCTACCTGCAATCAATTTCAACGCCAACGGGGCTTCGCCCCCAGCAGCCTTGTACCTTCGGGAACACCAACGGGCCTCACTTGGATTCGAACCTGGGATCTGCAACTCCCAAACCTTCACTGTCGCGGCAATTTTACCGTTAGGATATCTTACCTTTGGTATGTACAGTTCAATTTTACCACAAGGTATATTTGCAAGTTCAATTTGACCATTAAGATAAAGGTACAAGTTCAATTGAAATTTTACCATAAGGTATACATACAAGTTCAATTATACCATTAAGGTATAGATACAGTATCTATTGAACTTTTATCATAAGGTACATGTATAACTTCCATGGTTGTTGCTATGACGTGAAGTTTGTTACACGACCGACGAATGGGAGTCACAGTGGTTTCGCTTTTTCCCTGTTGATCATGATTTCATATTAAGAGACTTTTCAAGAATAGTATATGCATATAAGTAATGTCGATGAATGATTGCATATTGTGTTGGTTTTAACCGACACGATACTTTTCATTGTTTCGATTAGAACAGACCCAAAATGAAATTTTAATTTTTGGAGAATTTGGCGGAACTTAATCATTGAGTCCGCCAAAAATTTTCTTCATTGAGAATTGAATTCTTTTCCACACGGCTCCCTTATTACTCACCCCTTCCCTACCCCATAGCCTTTAATTCCCCATTCATTCTTTCCTCCTCCTATCCAGAACGTTTCTTCTTCCTTTACACTTCTTTCCTTCTTCGTTCCTCAATCTATCTAACATTTCCTTATTTCATCTCCATCCTTCTTTGTTCTTCCCCCAAAAAGATGATCGACATCCTCACCCAAAAACAAGAAGGCCTTCTGTCTTATGTGCTCTATCCCTCCTTGGCCTTCTCCCTACCGTCCCCGCTAGCCGATAGTCACTCGATAGGTGACAACATCTGGTGACTCTGGCGGAAAGATAGAGATGTCGAGAGAAGACTTGATCAGGCGACGAGGCGGAGAGAGTCGACAAAGAAGGATGCGGATCCGGCAATGATGGTGGAGAGATCGAGAGGCGGCAAGATTTGGAGTGGCGGAGAGAACCGACAATGACGATGGAGCAATTTGGCGACGCGGTGGCGAGATCCGGAGATGTTGATGGTGAGGTTTCTATTATGGGGTTTAGCGAGTTTGATTTCCCCCCGCTTTGTTAAGTCTATTTTTAAGACTGATTTCTGTTATGTGGGACCAGATCATGTCAGTAATTGATGGGTCAGTAACTCATCAGTAACCCCTTCATTTATCTTCACGTGTCAGTCCTTTTTTTTATTTAAATTAAATGCGAAAGGACAATAAGGTAAAATTGCACCTACCTCTATTTATTGCTAACGCTGACTTTTGACCGGACGACATCAGCGCCTTTTCTCTCTTCGAAAAACCTTTAATTTTCCTTCTCTTAATCTTTAACGGACGATTTTTCACTAGTTTTAAGTCGGAATTTAATTTTTTTTTGCACAATTAGATCAGATTAATTGTGCTCTTTAAAATGATATCCACTTTAATATTTTTTAGACATAAAAAAATTTGCCAGTTATTACCAGTCTATACCATATGGTATTGACTGGTATTGACCATACCATATGGTATGAAAAAATTTGTCACATTAATATATATTACGTTACCACCCAATACCATATGGTATAGTGTGGTAATATTAATATATATTTTGTTACCACCCAATACCATATGGTATAGTGTAGTAATATCAATATATATTTCGTTACCACCCAATACCATATGGTATAGTGTGGTAATATCAATATCCATTTCGTTACCACATAATACCATATGGTATAGTGTGGTAATATCACACAATATCATACAATACCATATGGTATAGTATGGTAATATCAATATATAATTCGTTACCTCACAATACCATACATTACCATATGGTATAGTGTGGTAATATCAATATATATTTTGTTACC